ATTGTGCAAAAATCGCATGCATGGCTTCTCAACGTATTTGCCGCCTATGGGCCGTTTGACGGAATCATGATGTTCTCTCAAGCCTGCGGCCTGGTCGCCAGTTTTCTCCTCAAAAAGGCTATAGAGCGAGAGACGTTATTTTCCTTGAAAATACTCATTTTCATAAGCGGCGTCCTACCAACAGAAATTATAACAGTCTTGGATGCTTCTGTGAAGCAAGAATCCTTGGTGCCCACGTTGACGGACTTGAAAGAGCAAGCGTCTGTTGCAGGTCCTCCGAGTCAATTTGGTCCTCCAGGGGACATTTCAAGATTTTTTCCTGGATTTGAGCCTCTGAAAATACCCACGGTTCATGTGTATGGCCTAGCAGACCCATACATGGCTTGGAGTAAGAGCCTTACAACTATATTCGACACCTCGTTTCGAGAAGAGTTCGTACATGCCTTCAGCCATATTATCCCACGAGAGAAATCGACAAATCGGGATTTGGCCATGGCTATCGACAAAATGCTAAATATGACACGAAGCTGCCCGGGTATGCATTGATAATTTAGATTGCAATAACAATGGAGCTAGTGGGTTGATGACACGAGAGCACGACCACGGTCGAAACTATTGTCTTCAAGGACAGAAGAAGTTTCCAAGTGAAAGCTCTCCATTAAGCTACCTGTCTTGTAGAGTTGTGTTTCACTTGGTTACTTACTCATAGTTAATCTACTTCCATACAAATTGGCTAAAGCAGAGGATAGAGCAAGCGTCAAATAATATTCTGTCTCTTGCAGCCTACCACAACAGGGAAAAGTGAGCAAGAAGAACTGCAATGTTCTAAATAAAGGCTTAGGAGAATAAAAGATGCAGATTACTAATTACATGCTATATCGGTGAGCAAAGTGCACAGCGGAAGGTAAGCTCAATATGATGAGTTTTACAATGTTGATGATAGTGGTGATGTTAATGAAAGATCTCCATGAATGCCCTGTTAGCCTGACCAGACCCTTTCCATCCCTGTGACAAGGGCTCAAAAGGGCCTGGAGCAATTGGCTCAATTCACCTGATAACAGTCTTTGGTATCAAAAGTCCTTGGTTTTCCAACAGGAAGCAAGGGATCAGTGACCACTATATATACAAGAAGAAAAAGTCTGTGCCTAGGGCTCCTGCCCGAGCACGTGTTCCTGTTGTGTAAATATCAAGTCCCCGATCCGTGAGGCCACTTTGTTGGTCTCACGATCTTCTTTGGGCCTCTTCCGTGTAACAATCCCTGGCCAACGCCCAGCCTGTATAGTTTGAGCCTAAGAAAAACCAAATATCATGACTAATAGCTTCACAAACATATCTTTAATCCAACAAAAGTGGATGAACGCCCCTCTCTCCTTCAAAATGTTTTTACACGTCATGCACAACACAAACACGTCATCGAGATGGACTATGCATGCCTCGAGACCACATGATATAATCTAACTACATGAAGCTTGCACTCTACGCCCGTCTTGTGTTGCTTTAGTCAACGAATAATACCGTAACCCTTGGAACTTGGATTTTGAATCTTGTTCAATTTGCTGCCAAGAGCGCACGTTTGTTTTACTTGACCAGGAAACATGTTTTGGCAACTTGCACTATTGTTTTTCGCTACAACTCTTTGCAAGGCAGTTTACGAGCTGCATTTTTCTAGACTAAGCCATATTCCCGGACCAAAACTGGCAGCGTTTACTCGTCTTTATGAACTGTACTACGATGTGGTGCTACGGGGTAAATATACGCACAAGATAGCTGAGATGCACAGCCAGTACGGTAAGAAGGCCTTCTGCCAATGCATTACGCCCTAATCAATGTCTCACTGTGACCAAGGCCCTATTATCCGAGTAGGCCCCCGGGAGGTACACATTAACAATCCCGACTTCTATGAAACCGTGTACGCACTGCGCGGGAAACGAAACAAGGACCCTTGGTTTACCTCGAATTTTGCTGTCCCTAAATCGTCTTTCGGAACTCTGAGCCACGACGTGCACAGATCGAGAAGGTCATTGATGGCACCATACTTCTCCAAAGCTCGTGTTCAGCGCATTGAGTCTACGATCCTTGCCAAGGTAGACAAGCTGGTTCGACGACTGGAAGAGTTTGTCCACAGCCAACAGCCACTGAGACTAGATCCAGTGTTTAGCTGCCTACTTGTTGACATTGTCTCAGAATATACAAACTACAAATGCTTCAACTACCTCGACTCTCCCGACTTCCAGCCCATCTGGGCAGACACCACGAAAGACCTGTCTGAGTGCGCAATGATGTCTCGGAATCTTCCGGGGGTCTTCGGAATTTTGGCATGCTTACCGAGGCGTCTTGTCAAGCAAATCTACCCAAAGCTCATTACTGTCATGGACTTTCGCGCTGACTGTATAAAGGAAGTTGCGCACATGTTTCACAATACATCGGATTCCAAGGAGATGGCCGAGGTCAAAATTTGCCAGGAGCCCACCTTGTTCCATGATCTCCTCAAGCTAGAGAGTTCCCCCGATGCCGAGGAGAGGGTGTTGCACGAGTTTATATCCATCATAACAGCGGGAACCGAGACCACGTCAAACACTCTGACGGCCATTACATTTCATGTCCTAAACAATATCAAAATAAAGCAAAAACTGCGCGACGAGCTATATCAAGCCTTTGGAGACGGAAACGCAATGACTTGGACCGAGTTGGAGCAGCTGCCATACCTGGTAGGTGAGGAGGTGCCGAAGATTGTTGCTACAGGGACTAATCTCCGCTATGCGTTTCAGACCGGGGTGATATACGAGGGGCTAAGGTTCGGCACAGCCCTTGACACCTATTACTAGATGAAAATAATACACTCACACCCCGGCAAGGCTCAGTTACGGTCTCTCCACCCGGTCTCCGCGCGTTTCGCCCGACGAGGCGCTGCAGTTTGGAGACACAATCATACCACCCAATGCAAGTTGACAAGTCACGATGAACGGCAGCTAGCAAAATATCTAACCATTGGGACGTATAGGTGGCCATTGGCATGGCATCTGTGATTATGCATCATAACGAAACAAGCTTCCCCGACTCGCACAAGTTCATGCCAGAGAGATGGACTGACCCAGAAGAACGGCGGAGATTGAGCAAGTACCTCGTCGCCTTTAGCAAAGGGTCTCGATCGTGTATTGGAAGGCAGTAAGCATCTCTCTCGGTTGTGAATGAGAGTAGTTGAACAGAGATGCTAATAACAGCCCGAAGCTTGGCTTTGGCTAATCTTTACTTCACCGTGTCCACCATGTTCCGAAAGTTCGAAATGCAATTATTTGAAACGACTGAAGATGACATTAAACTGGAGCATGATATCATGCTTCCGCGGCCAAGGCTTACTAGTAAAGGAGTTCGAGTTATAATTAAACGTCCCATTGTTTGAGATGTCTTTATCGAGTCTAGCTATGATTCTGGAAGTTTCTTGGAGACGAATGGATTTGAAGATGAGACTGCTATTCGCGGATGAATCACCAATTCGGCTAGCAATGATTTGGTGGTGTATTGCGTGGTTAGTAACGGTTCCCTGACACAAGTACGGGAAAAACGAGGTGTTACTGCATATCTTGCATCATCCAGCCCTTTTTCTGCTTCTTCAATTAACTGGATAAGATTGCTATAATACATTATACGTACCCCTAGACGACGGATGTCTTAGTCCATACTTGCGATTGTCGTGACGGCACAAGGGCTCAACTGCCGAGGGGATTGGCTCGGCAAACTATCTAACCTGACACGACGGCTATTAAACTCGCACTAAGCGCACATGCATGCACATGGAATGGAGCCGAGTCGATCAGAGCCACTCCCCTTGGGGCAGATAGCATTGTGGCAGACGATTGGGGGATCATAAGATCCGAGCATGACTATACCAACAGCGCCAAGTCCATTAAGCCGAAAATTCCGAGAGGAAACAAAACATCTTTTCCGTTGCGTTGGAGAAGCGAGAACAATCATCCACATCCAAAAGTCTCAAGACTAGGAGTCCAATGATAAATTGCCGCACCATGGTATCGTCAACACCAACGACTTGCCCCATATTCTAGTCGTGATGGCTGACACATTGTTACTTCAGCAAAACACCATGGGACCGATTGCCTAGGGAATCCTAGTTCTTAGCCCCGACAGCCACTTTTATCCGGCAGACCCTGACGCCCGCGGGCCGCCGGTGCCGATACATGTCAATATTGTCATGCAGGGAGATGGCCTCAAAAGAACCACCATCTCATTGGCTTTCTAGCGTACAGAACTCCGCTTGTGTCCGGGCTTGGTACCAGTCTATCCCAGCCAAGTAAATAAACATGCATGAGTGCCATGCTGCCCTGCCACTTCGTCGGTAGCAAGATGCCAAAATGTTATTCCTGAAACCCTTACCAAGATGCAGGTCGACCGGATAAGGAAGCTCGGGCTTTTCTTGTGGGCCTTACGCGTGTCACGCTCCATCTTGTTGCTCGTATAATAATGCTCGCACCTTGGTGGCTATATGCAGTGTATGCATGCATGGGCGGGCAGAGTTTCGGATGCAACCTCTTTTCTCGCCGTCATTGGCCACCAAGACTCTATCAGTATATGTGATGCCAGAATTTCGATGGCTACATTTTGTATCGTCGGCTCCATTGGCTTCAAGTTGCGGTGAGTCACGCTGCGGCCAGCTTTGTCAAGGTGAACCACAAGTTGGACCGCAAACCTTGGCCACGTCGCAACTCGCGGCATTACAGCATGTTTCCAACATGCCCAGATGTTGAAAATCCCACCAAACTATTCTTTCTACCAGTGGACACCTGCAGAGTACAGTTCGAGGAAACGGCGATGGAATCTGTCATGCTATGTATTGGAGGGACGACATAAAAAGGTTGCGATAGTTATTGCTTCTGTAGTAGTTTCGTGTAAAGAATTTAAACTTCCCTTGGATAATGGGGCAACTGGCGAAAGCTTCCGGTTAGACCTTGTCTGGTTTAGTCGACAATAAAGGACTAACCTATTAACTATAGCTCCTGACTAAATGAGGTGACGGCTAGATATTTTGACAAACGAATATGAAGCCGTATCTCCTCTCGAAGCTTAGTCACTTCTGTCTTGAGGCTCGAAAGTTCCGCCTCAATGACCCTTCGCCTTCTATCTTCGTCTCGTTTCTCTTCCTCCAGTAATTGAATGAGGTCCGCTTGCTTTTGGCGCGACCTGGCTGCCGCTAGTCGGTTTCTCTCCCTGTACTTGGCCGGGGTTCTGTCACGAAACCGTTGTGTGTCACTGCTTGATTCATCTGCTAGAGCGCTGGACGTGTTACTAGTGCGGTCTCTCACCCTTGATGTAGAACCGTCTTGCTGAGACGCTAGTAGCTGCATCGGGTCGTGGTCTGAAGAGGGTGTTTGTTGGCACTTGGGGTCTACGTTTTGGGTGTGTCCAAACTCAGAACCCAACGCATTTGGAGACCACAGTGGCAGGCTCATCTCTGGTGTTGCTGATGATGGCGTCTCATCAAGTGATGGCAATGTAAACTGAAGAAAAGGTGTATCATTGATGTCTGTATTTGTCGATTTAACAATCTCATCGTTGAGTTCGAATGCTTCGAGTAGCGTAAAATTATCAGATGAGAATGCATCCACCCTAATCTTTTTATTTTGGCTAAATGTAAACGTCGGACTTCTGCCACCATATAGATTAATCGTGAATTCTGAGTACTATGAGACTTGGTCTTGCAAGATATTTGTGAGACTAGGTACCTTGAGAGTTCTGGATCAACCAGATGTAGATAGGAGAAACTTTCCTCATTGTGTGATTCTGGCCGTGATACTTCCATGGTCACGTAGTGGTTTCAAGCGATGGGCGTATTTGTGGAATCAGACTTGGTCTTAGAGAAATATTGGAGAAATAATAGACTCCTAGCAGCAGTTTTGAACAGCCCTGGTCCTGATACTCCGTACTCCATATATCGGTAACGCGTATCGTAGTTTGCAATTCTACCCCATATCTGGCCAGCGATCAAAAAGGCTCAAAGGTACATTCAAGATCGACGCCCCCAAGCCACTGCCAAGAAATAGGGCCTAATGAGCTTTACCAATGCCACCTTGTAAAACAAAGTATCGTACGATTATCCGCGATTGACTTCGTACAGCTAACCCCGCTGAATAAGCGGGTCAAATCATGGGTTTATATTGTTTATGCCGATAATTCCGAAAGATTTTCTATTTTTTTAGCTGCGAAATAGCTTATAGAGACTTCTTTGCGATACAATTTTCCTAAATAAGCAAGTCTCCGTAAGCTATTCCGCAACTAAAAAGATTAATACATGTAGTAAATTAGAAAACCTTGAATTAGAAAACTTCGGAATTACCAGGGCCCACTATATAAACTCGCAAGAAATCTTTTACTTGCATGTATTAGACCCCATAAATGTATCATCTCCTGATTAATGCAGTACTCACTTGGCGACGACATTTTGTGCATTAATTGCCTGAACCATCCTTTTTCACTTCTAAGCTCCAGTAAAAAATAAATAAAAAGATTAAAATTTTACGCTGTATCTTTCACATATCAAATATGAACCAGAATTCTTCTTATTCTTCTCCTCTGAGAAGTGGGAAGGCGTCTTTTGCAATTCCTGGTGTCTTGGCAATACCTGGACGTCTCCACTATCGGCCGGGAGTAGAATTCGTCAGATCGGCAGAATAGTATTCTAGAAGCCTACCTGGCGCAGGTGCAGCCTCACTCTCTCGTTTACAGTAAAATTGAACATGGTAACGGTTCTTATTTCGCGCATAGAATCTCTTCACAGGGCAGCACAACGACAAGGAGCCGACTTGCTTGGAACCCCAGACGAGCAGGTACCGAGTCTAAAGAGTAAGCATAACTCGACCCTTGTGACCTCAATTATGCGCTATTTTTTACCTACTATTATTGGCTATAGTAGGCTTTTAGTTTCTTAATAGGTACCTGTTCTTACCCATCTATAAAATTAGGTATCCACGGGTTGCCCTGTTTACATAATACCCACTACCTGAAATAGTTCCCCCATGAATACCTAAAAATTATCACGGATACCCATGGACGCCCATGGGTACCTAATTTTACACCTTAATATAGACCAACCGACGACAATTGTTGGTTCGTTGGGTGATATAAAGGGGCCATCTCTCCCGTATTTATGCTCTAGTTTGCCGACAACTATAACCCTTTATCAGTTTCGCAATGCTTGTACTCTTTCTGGCCCAATTAGCCGCTCTCTTTGTCTCAATCGTGTCTGCGAAGGTGGTGTCCAGGCAGATTCAATTAGGTCAACATGAGTACTTTATGCCTCCATCTCCCTCTTGGACAGTACCGTCGTGGGACTCGAACTGGTTGCAAAATGCGACCGTGGACGAGTTTGTGCCGATTACGGTTATGAACCTGAATGGAACTAAAAATGATGCCAATATTAGAGCTATGCTAGACAAGTTTAATGCAACAGATGATGTGTGGACATCGTCATTTACTCAGAGTAAGCCAGCTACTGCCGTCTGGCTTCAAATCTTCCAACTGACTTCGATACAAGTTCTTTATATTCAGTCTTCAAACCGATCTGCAAGTACTCTGTTGCAAAAGGAAAAGCCCGATCAGTATACTATATCTAAACTCGTTGTTGGTAACACAGACAGAATTGTTCCCTCGGGGCCTTATTTCCTGCATACGAGCACCGGAAATGCATACCAAGCTTACCGACTCTTTGCCGACACAAACCAAGCATTTATTCAGGTTTGTTGCACCAGCAAAGCTATTCAACCATTTTGACTAAACTCAGTAGTCCTCGTATCAAGATCCACAAGATACGCATCACCCCTTGCGCGCGGCAATCTCCTCAGACGCAGGCCTCACCGTGGCAGTCCCGTCCCGCTTATACTATACTCCTACAAAAGACAAACCACTTGCCGGTGTGCGAATATCCGTAAAAGATCTCTTTGACCTCAAGGGTCTCAAAACAAGCGGAGGAAATCGAGCATTCTACGCAAGGAGTAACATCAAAAACGAAACTGCAATTGCTGTCCAAAAACTTATTGATGCCGGTGCTGTGGTTGTTGGCAAGGCAAAGTTGTCTGACTTTGCATTTGGAGGGTCATACTTTACCAGCCACATTGACTATTTACTGCCATTCAACCCTCGAGGTGATGGATACAACCTTCCAAGCGACAGTTCTGGCGGTTCTGGGGCCTCAGTTGCCTCGTATGACTGGCTTGATGCGAGTGTGGGCAGTGACACAGGTGGTTCTGTTCGAGGACCGGCGCAGCAGAATGGTGTGCATGGGAATCGACCGACTCATGGTGCAGTTGACCTTTCTGGTGCCATTCCTTTGAGCCCTGCGATGGACACCGTCGGTATGCTTGCGCGAGATCCCTTGCTCTGGTCCAAGATTAATAGGGTCTTGTACGCGGGCTCTGTTAAAGAGTTTGCAAAATTTCCAAAGTCAATACTTCTTGATCCATCCTCCGCCAAGAAACTCTCAGCAGCTGAGCAAGAGTATCCGAAAATGGCAGCTGCGGCGAACAATTTCTTGAATCACTTGTCGAAGATCCTAGCCGCCAATGTTTCTACCTTCTCGATTGACGAAGCGTGGAATAAATCTACGCCTGTTGCATTCAACACTACACCCATTGTGAATGCTGTGAACCGCATTTACGGCGGCCTCACGCGCTACGAGCAATGGAGCGATTTCGGTAAGGCCTTTGTAAGTGAGTACATGGAGACTCATAACGGGGAATTCCCTCACATGGTGCCTGATGTTCGGGTGGGCTGGCTGCTCGCCAATGCCTCACTGACAGAGGACGATCACAAAGGCGATCTAAAAAACAAGTCGGGAGTTGCAGAATGGGTTGCACAGAAATTCCTCACACGAGATGAAGATACATGCTCAAACGCAATTTATGTCTACTTTACCATGCCGTACAAGTCCTATAAACCAGATATATCAGGAGAGTATGTTCTTCGACACCACTACGATTAGATGGCGCTAACAAATTCCAAGCTGGTCGAATCCATATATTGCAGAGTTAATCAGTAGTATCTCCAAGCAGAAATTACAAATCCTACAGCAGAACGTAACTATTAACTGCAACACGACCCTAGGTTCCAAGGAGACTTGCGAACATTCACAAAAGGCACTTGAAGAGGCTGCTGAACTGCGGCACTACCCAGTGTCCCCAGGGCGTCTTGCATCTGTTGCTGATTTGCCGGATTATGCCCTCACTCTTGGAAGCTTTAACCTAGGAGATGTTAATTTCTCTGAATCAACGTTAAAGAATCAGAGTTTACCGCTTGCAGTTGATATTATGGCGGCCAAGGGATGCGATGTTATGATTCTTAACCTGGTTGAAGAACTGTATCGTGTTGGGGCTATCAGAACAGCCAAGACAGGAGTAACTGTATAACCTAATAGCTAGTCTTGTTATTTATTATATAATTGACTAGTTCTTGCTCGTGTGTGTCTCTTTTAGATGTTCGCTTCGTCGTCCTCGTATGCAGAATCCATTTTATTAAAACTTTAACGCGACTGCCCGGTATTATCGTCCTTAACGGCCTTGGTACTGCCAGATATAGCTGAAGCCCGTGCAAGTCCCTAAATACCCTACTCCAAGATAACAAGTTGAATAGAGATGGCCGATTACTGATGTGGAATGGATCATAACGGCAGCTCAGGGGCTCTTGAGACACACGAGTCTGGAGAAACTACCAGTTTGATGAGATATGGCCATAGAGTAGTCATGAAAATGAAAACGACGCATTACGAGAGTAAGGGGGGCGGCAAGACACCCATAAAGGGAGCGGATGGGGTGTGGAATATTCACGGCCGGCGACTTTGCAAGCGCCCACCAGGTTCTCACATTTTCTGGATATGATCGACGGCTGTTTTGACACCTATTGGTGTACTTGAAGATGGTGTTAGACAGGGGTAGCCAACCACTGCACGAGATCCTGCAGCTTGTCCAAGGATGATATAATCGAGGAAGATTGACGTCATATGTGTGATGACTCTCAATGAGACCGTAACTTTTGCCGTATAAAGCCGAGATAAGCTGTTATAACTTTCCTTTAGGTCTGGTTAAGTAGGCAGCTGGGTAGCTAACCAAAGTCTTATAGGATGGCCAACACAACAAACCCGTTGAGTAGTCGTAAACTGAAAGCCTAGTTTTTGGCCTGGGTATACATATACCCTGACGATCTTGCTTCCAGCTCATAAGTTGTTCGTGTATTTTTCCAGCTATCGACTCTTCGGGACGATCGGGTGACTCGTGGTGGACTTGCTATCGTCTGATCCGGGAAATCATGGCGAACCGGCTGTTAGAGAAGGTGTGTGCGAATTTCCTAAGCACTCCTATAAACTGCAGAATAGCATTGGCAAGTAAGCCTGGCTTCGTTCTGTTTTAGGGGGTGGTCGTCCGAGTTTTATTAACCGGGGGAAATATGTATCGTCCTTGGATCATTGTATAGAGTGATGGCACCTCTCAAGTTATCCTTCAACGGAAACATCGCTGACAGCAACGACAACGCGTGGCGATACCGAGTCCTCCCCTGGGGCGGCCAGGAACGGATGCAATATTATCACGAGCCATACCAGATTGTCAACGGGAAAATACAGGATATCTACAACTAAGAGATATATAAGGATAACTACAGCAGGCACTTGTGGAATTCCCTTTTGTCTGGTGTGGTCAATCCGTGATACAGGTATTTTGCTTTGCAGGAGGCGGCGTACAATCTGACTCATACTTGTGTAGGGATAATCTCGTCTTCAAACAATACAGGACTCCTTTATAGCTCCGCATAGTAATATGGTCTCCGAATTATCTATCAAACTGGGCCGTGCATCTCATCAACGTTGAACGATGTAGTGGTCCATGCTTTGACAGAGGGCTCGTAAATGTTAATATTTCCGCCTAGTTCAGTCTTTCTATGGAAGCCACCCATGCGGTAGAGCTCCGCTTGACAAAACGCAATGGATGTGGTTCCACGTGCAGGAGCAGGAGCAGGCGGGATCTCTGTCCATGCTAAAGTCTCAATATTGAATGCCCAGAAGTCAGAAAGACCACCCTGAGAAGGACATCCCGCGTGGAGATAGAGGGTTTTGTCGCCATCAAAGGTCATGGCGTGGTAACTGCGAGCCGCGAGATGAGCAGACGTCGTAGAGTCAGATGTTGCCAGCGACGACGATCGCGGTGCTGACTCGAGGATATAGTGCAGTGCTTAAGGTAAGCGTCACGTTCCGAGTGAGTAAAACGGGTTAAGGATGAGCATACTTCTGGCTTCTGCATGTATGCCCACGCAGTCGACATGATTGTGAACGGCTGTCGGGGGAGCAGTTATTCACCAAAAATGCAAGCGTTGAAGGCGTACACAGTATCTGTGACGAGCGACAAAGGCGGCAATTTGACACTATTTGTGTTCAGCGGCCGTTGAGGGAAGCCATAGGGCTAGTCATATTAATAACTTACAACAATAAACGAAGATAAAATTTTTGAAAGTACTCTTTTTTTGTGATATTAATATTTGTGAGATTGACACATCAGGGTAGGAACTGGTAGTATTAACACGACCAAAACTAATAGGCCTTATTGGCATGCCAACGTCGATGTGTCCTCGTTCCTAGGATTAGTCGTTCTAGGCGCCATCTTGTATATTTCCATGTCATCTTCTAAACCTGATCTACCGCTGGTCAATGGCCTTGAAAAGGGGGAATTTAGATCGCAACATGCAAGACGTAGATTTGTCGCTCATGCGCAGAACTTGATCCGGGCTGGATTCGCCAAGGTCGGTAATTACCGCGTCTCATATCAATGTTATTGTTAACCTTAACTGATAGGTTTTAATTGTGTTAAGTCAAGAAATGCATTTCGTATTATTGGTGACAGTGGTTACAATATAATATTGTCTCCTCGGTATGCTGAGGAGCTGCGCGACCATCACGACTTGAGTTTTGGGAAAGCTGTTGCCAAGGTATGCCAGTTTCTCTTTTGTAATTTTTTTTTACAAAAGAAAATTAGATTACGATATGCCGATAATTCAGCCATGTCATCTAGGAATTCAATGCACATCTTAAAGGTTTTGAACCATTCAACGTGGTCGGTATTGACAATCAAATCTTTCAAGATGCCGTCAGGATGAAACTAACGCAATCTTTGGGTATGTGTCTGTCCGGAGTCATCCCAGGAATAAAGACGGAGATTTCAAAAGAGACCGCTAACCAGTGAGTTAAAGGAAGGATATGCCTCCCACTGTCTACAGAGACATCATTGGCCTTTCAAGCAAACTGGACAGATGACCGAGGTAAATACTCTGAACTCTTATTATCTGTGCAAACCCATACTCACCAGCGAGGAGAGTGGCATGAGATTGAACTTAAACCAAGCCTCCTAAAGACAGTAGCTCGTCTATCATCCAGGGTTTTCTTGGGTGAAGAAATATGTCGGAACCGAGACTGGTTGCGAATTACTGTGGAATATTGCTTGCACTCCTTCCTGGCCGCCGAGTCTCTGCGAATCTGGCCAAAGATACTTCGGCCTATTGCCAGCCGGTTGCTTCCTGGATGCCGCCAGGTACGTGCCGAGATGGGCGAGGCGCGTCGCATCATAACGCCAGTCCTGGAAGCCAGGCGTGCTGAAAATTTACAAGCCCTACCGAATAGTCAGACCGCCAAGAAATACAACGATGCCATGGAATGGGTGGAGGAGTCCGCCAAGGGCCGCAAGTATGATCCCGCAGTAGGGCAAATAGCGTTTTCCGTCGCGGCCATTCATACTACTAGTGACATGATGACGCAGTTGATTTATGATTTGTGCGGAAAGGATGACCTCGTCAAGGCCCTGCGAGACGAGGTCATTACCGTTTTATCTGAAGACGGTTTGCGAAGGACATCACTGTACAAGCTCAAGTTAATAGATAGCACGATGAAGGAGAGCCAACGGTTGAAACCCATGAGTATTGGTATGATCTCAACTGCCCGAGAGAGGGTGAACCCTAGCTAACGACTGACGCTTGTTCGCAGTATCCATGCGGCGCGTGGCAACCAGCCATATCTCTTTGTCCGATGCGACGGAGATCCCCAAGGACACTTCTATCATGATTTCGGCACATAACATGTGGGACGAATCTGTGTACCCCAACGCAAAGGAGTTCGATCCGTATCGCTTTCTGGTATGCGAAAGAATCCGGAACGCGAAAAGTTTGCGCATTTCGTCTCTCCTTCGGTCGAGCATATGGGCTTTGGGTTTGGCAGGCATTCTTGTCCGGGTCGTTTCTTTGCGGCAAATGAGGTTAAGATTGCTTTATGACATATCCTGCTCAAGTATGACTTTAAGCTTGCAGAAGCTGAACGACCCGAACATGAAAGGTAGGTGTGTCGCTAAGTGCGAACTCACCAGGGAAAATATTTATCCGGCGTCGACAGGAGGAGATCTCATTATTATTCTAACCAGCTGAAGATACTTGGAATAACTGTAAAGTTGCTAAGTAAAGGGACTTAACAGCTAAATATTAAGCCTGATAAGTAATACGTTTTAAAATATTATATTACCAACCCTATACTCCGTACATGTTAACACTATTAATTATAAGGGGTAGAAATATTTAAGGGCTAAAAGTAATAATCAATATATATAATAATAAATAGGATATTATAGCTATAAATTATTAATTTATTAGGCTTCACCTAATATAATTCTTATCCTAGAGTATTCGGTATGCGCCGCGGCTTTAACCAATCAGATACTATTGCCAGGCCGGTAGTCAGACTACCCTAGGTATGTATCGGACTCCGATACCCAAGTTGCATGTCATAGAACATGTCGGACAGCGAAATCGTTTTGTGTGGCTCTGTATCTTGACGTGAGGAAATTAGATAGAACTCCGGTAATATAGAAAGTTTCTACACCCAGAAAGTACATTATCGAGCAATACTATCTGTCTACTTGGAAGCGGTGTAGTTTTCCAGCACACGTATTGCGGGGCTCGCGGGAATAAAGCTACCAGGAAGAAATAGCCAATACCGCTAGTGCAGCACGAGAATGCTCGGCATTAATACCCATACGTTCAAAGTAGAATAGAATGACGGTACCCCCCGTCGGAATAATAGCTCTTTAACGCTGCTTCGACTCTAATCTCTTCCAATACTCTAGAGCTGACAGTTACAAACGAAGCCGAATCAAAGTAGCCCAACTCGTGTAACTATGGGAACCGAATCTGAAGCTCAGCACGCCACGCTTGATAAATTCCTCGTCGCCTGGGGAAATTGGTCGGCTACCGATATGATTGCAAACTGGTCAGACGACTGTACGCAAGCGGCTCTACCGTTTTCCATGGGCCATCCAGCTCGGTCTCGAGCCCAAGTAGAGGCGACTCTTCCGCTCCTCCAACAAGTCGTTACCGACTACGCAGTAAGTAAAACGCTCTCGCCGCGCACTTATATTTTGTGCCACAAATACAGACGTGAGCCATGGAAATACTAATAGCAGATAGCTTGTGATTCACCAAGTTGTGCACGATGTGCCTCAGCGCAAGGCCGTTGTATATGCACTGTCCTCGGGTAAAACGCCCTTTGGAGACTGGAACAATGAATATGCCGTGTTTTTCACCTTTAACGAAAACGGGCAAGAGATTACAAAAATAGAGGAGATGGTTGATACAGCGTTCATGAAGGACTTCTTCCCTAAGTTCCAGCAGTATATGCGCGACCAGGCATCAAATGGGAAGCCAGCTTAATTCACTAATAGCCTTATGTGTATATTGGCACCGCTTGTCTTGTTAAAGTCTTTAATGGATTAAAACAAAACTACGAGACTAGTTACTTAGCTGCGAGAATAGATCTGCATGGTATACTTCAAGCGGGCTGGGAACGACGTCTTGGGCCCAGAATTGAAAAATGTACTACAGAAACCACGATTTCGCTATCCAGGGAAGACATCTAAGTACCATTGCTTCAACTTTCCACAGAGGAGAGAGTTTACTTTAAAGCCAGCAACGACATTATTGCAGCTTCTCTGATTTGCCCAGTCCAGCCTGAACGGCCGGCCGCGCAAACATGCGGTCCTGCCAGGCCTTGACGTGCGGATAACCCTCGAGGTTGTAGTCAGTCTTGTCAAAGATGATGCCAATGACGTTTTGCCACGAGATGAAGGCGAGATCGGCAACCGAGCACTTCCCCCCCACGAGCCACGGCCCATCCTGGCCCGGGGACACCTTCTTCTCCGACAGGACCTTTTCCAAGACGCCCGTGACGCGCTGAACTTCCTTGACGTAGCGGTCGAGGGCGCTGGGCAGATTCTCGTGGTGGAACTTCTTGAACCAGGCGGCCTGGCCGTAGTAGGGGCCCTGGCCAGACGCCTGGAAGTAGAGGAACTGCCTGGCCTCGTACGACTCGGGGCTGCCAGCCGGGAAGCTGATTTTGTGGCCGGCGTCGTACTTTTCGACGAGGTACTCGACGATGGCCCCGGACTCCCACAGGGTAATGTTGGTGTTGGGGTCGTGGATGGCCGGCAGGCGCCCGTTGGGGTTGACGGCCAAGTATTCGGGCTTCTTGACATCGGCCAGGGGCACGACGACGGCCTCGTAGGGAAGGCCAAGCTCCTCGAGGACGATGGCGACCTTGGGCGGGTTGGGGCCACCCTTGCCCCAGACTTTGATTGGCTTGATGCTGGACATGGCGGTGGCGTCTGGACTCTGGTGTGGTGGTTGTGACAGGGTTGAAACTGGAGGCGGGAGAGTGAGATGTAAATGTGGCAAGTTGGCTACCAAGTCCGAAATAAGATGGCGTATATGTTGTTACTGGCTGTGATGGAGGGAAGAGCCCGTAGGTTGTCTTTTAGAGCTACGGTTATATATGTTATTTGCTGGTTTTAATTTTGCAACATGCCACCTGGTCCTACACCAGATAATGCTACAGCATCATTCTCACATGGGCAGTGCGTCTGCATCCTGCGGGTTTTCGGAGTCCGATGATCCAATCAGACCTAGTCATGGAGATTACCGCGCGGGACGATGACAAATGCAAAATTAGGGCCTGCTTTGTACCAGACGTGATGTAAGAACCATGAACAGCCACATGCACGGGCGGCTGACGGCCGCGTAGCCATGGTGGGAAGATGTAATGGTGTGGCCGGTGTTGATGGGGGCCGATCTGGGTAAGCAAGATCTCGATTCTCTTGACTGAACAAGAGATGCAAATGCGAGGGGCACGGGCCAACATGACGTGGGTGGTGAAATGCCATACAATACGCGCTACAAAAACTAGCATCACGACGTGGCCGGTTTTCATCATGGCACTCGCATCGAATTGGTCTGTCGGGATGCATTCCCCGCACTATCCGGCATGTGTGCTGATGTGCCGCAGCTGGCCGTATCGGCTGTGTTGCTTTGCTCGTCCAAGACTTTGCGGAACTTGATGTGCATTTCCTCGTCTTGGTCGAATCGTGCGCGGCGATCCTTGATGGTGGCGCGAACAACTCCTGCGGAACAGTGCCTGAAATTTCCCAGTCAATAATACCGTGCCTGGATATGTAGATTCCTATCTACAAGAATAATAGGGCACCGCAAGTCCAAGTGGTTCAGGATAGACGGTCCCCGGTCCAGGTCTGGATCGACGAAGATCGATGACTTGGTATATAATATCCTCCAGGTGGTGAAGCACAAACACCTCATTTGGGCAGACGTTGGCGAAACCTGTTGGCAGCCATGGACAGAACAGGCCACACCATACATATGTAGGCTCCGGGCCGCCAACGGGATTTGGCATCAACGCCAATCTTGTATTCATGGCAAGTCTCTAGTCCTATGTATGCGAGCATCATGTCATGTCCCTACCTCGCGCGGCTACAAGGGATTGGAGTCTGGGTGTGTCGTTTTCAGCCAACAGATTACGTGGTCGCGACTAGTTAATATATTGACTCTCTACTGGGACATGATTGTATCCTTGGCGCTACTATACATCTTGTCCAATTTCCATGACCCAGGCCCATTTCGAAGCGGTCCAGTGATGCCATCACCATCAAAACCACTCGTCTGCTAACCGACAGGAGGAGCATATTCGCAGTCTCTCAACTACCATCCACCGAGTGACGGTGCTAAATTCCCGAATCATCCTGCTCCGCCTCATGCACCATATTATTGTTCTCGTACCACTCGGTCCATTCCTCGCAGCGCCGCGAAAACTCGGGCAGCACGCCCGCCTTCTCCATCAGCCCCTTAATCTTGCCAGGCTGCTCGAGGAACTGGATCGACAAGCCATCGCTGGCATGCCACGCAATGTGGCAATGCATCAGCCAGGCGCCCGGGTTGTCGATGCGGAACGCAATCCACAGATACCCGTCTATCGGGCAATTGGCCACATCACGACGCGGCGGGTTGTCGAGCTTGGGCACAACGTCCTCGGTGAAGGGACCTTGTCCCTGGGCGAGCACCAATAAGTCATGCCCGTGTAGATGCATCGGATGCACCGACTGAGGAATCGTCCTGGGCGGGTCGACGCCCTCGAGGGTATAGTTGCTCGTGATGACAAAGTACACCCACTCGCCCGTCTCATAGTCGAGATAGATGGGCTCCGTCTCGGGTGTGAACAACGACTCGTTGCCGCTGTTCAGGGCCAGCTTCTTCAGACTCGGCTCCCGCCAGTCGAGATACATGGGCGTGTGGCGCAAAACCCATTTGTGAATCAGGGAGTTCGGGTCGCTGGCGTTGGGCCAGCCCTGCAGCCCTATCTTGAGGTATTCGCTGGGCTCCATGTTGTTCACCCGTCGACCAACCTGCATTGGCACGACTGGTACCAGCTCGTTTGGCCCTGGATCAGCACATCCATACTTGAGGTGGGCTCGAGGGGGCGTGTAGGGATCGCTTTTGTTCTTGGCGTCGTACCGCACGATGCCTACGCGGTGGTCCAATATGTCGGGCTCGTTGCAGTACTGTGCGTGGATCCAGAAGTTGGGACCGTTCTCGAGGCTCGCATTGGCCTCGACAATGATTTCGTACCGTTGGCCTATGGCGGCATGAGACGCGTACATACTCTCGGGGCTGTTTGCAAAGCCTGGGGGGGAAAGGGAGAAACCATACCTATACCAATGTTGATGACGTCAGTCACATATGGCTCAATGGCCACAAAGTCGTTGGAGATGACTGTAAAGTTGTGCCCGTCAATCCAGAACGTCTCTGTGAGCAGAGTACCCGTGTGAGTCAGGCCGATTTTGTACTTGGTGCCGCGTTCAAGCGTCACCTCGAAAAAATCCTTCTTTCCCGTGCATCTGGTGTCGTTCTTCGGGTCACAGTCGTAGAGTCCTTTGCCATTTAGAACCATGGAATTCGGGATCGCGGCCCGGGGTGTAAAGATCTCGTAATAATAGAGCTTGAAGGC